TTTAAATATATATATAAAAGAATATATATATAAAAATAAATATATTTTTTTTCTTAAAATTAATAAATAATTTTATTTAATTAAGGTTTATTCAAATTTTTAATTCAACTTATAGTTAAATCATCATATATTATACTATATTATAATATAGATCCATTTTACTTATTTTTTTTTTAATTTATTAACTTATTCTATCTTTTGGTAAATTATACATATTTTCTTCAAAATCTCCTATTTTTAAATTTTCTCCTTCAAAAATTTTAAAAAAGGCCCACATTACAAGTTATTTTTTTTCATTATAAATATTTATAACTCCATATATTTTATTTAAATCATCCCTGTAATTTTTTACAAATTAGTCTACATCAATTTTTATTCTAAAAATATTATCGAATCTACAAATTTTTTTATATGAAGATTAGATTTCTCCTTAATAAGCACAAATATTTCCATAATCATCTATCAAAGCATTATCTTCATTATAAATTTCTAATTTAACAAAAAGTTTTTAATTTTTACTTAATTTCTAAACACAATCTACTTTTATTATAAATTTATTATATTTCCAACTTTTTTATTTATATTTTAATTCTTGTATTTCTTCATCAATCTCTTAGAATTTCTCTACATTAACTATAAAATTTAATTTATCGGCTTTTTACTTCTTATTTATCTTTAAATTTTTTAATTTAATAGGAAAATCATATAAAAACTCATTAAATTCTCCAACATTGACATTTTATTTATCTTTAAAAAGATTTTAAGCATACCAAGCATATTAAATCTCTTCATCATTACTATTTATACCAACAAACATAAAAATAATATAATATTAATCTAGTTATTATTTATCATTTTTTAATATATATAATACATCAACCGGTATTTAAAACTTAATTCCTATATCCAGTTTTTTAACATCTTCTGGATAAACTATTTCATCAAAATCATAAACTGAAGGTTTTCCAAAACCATCTTTTATAATTCTATCATTTTTAGTAACCAAAAAATCAAAAGAAATACCAATTTTCAAACCATAATTTTAAAATTCTTTAACTTCTACTACTAACATATTTTCAGGATATTTTGGTTTTTCTTAATTCTTTTAATGGTTATTATTTTTCTCGTTTAATTATTTAAAAATTACTCCTTCTTAATTTTCTTCATTATCTTCTCCATCTTCTTCATCTTATTCATCTTCTTCATCTTCTTCATCTTCTTCATATTCTTCATCTTTTTCATCTTCTTCATCTTCTTCGTTTTCTTCATCTTTTTTATTTTCTTCATCTTTTTTATCTTCTTCATCTTTTTTATCTTCTTCATCTTTTTTATATTTTTTATCATCTTCATCTTCTTCATTTTCTTTATCATCTTCATCATCTTCATCATCTTCATCATCTTCATCATCTTCATCATCTTCATCATCTGCTTTTGGTTTTTTTATGAGTTTTATGTTAATTCTTTATTTTTTATATCGTCTTTTATTTATTCAGATTCTGTATTTAAATATTCTGAATATTTTTAACTTTAAAAATATAAAAATATATATATATATATATATATATATATATATATATATATATATACATATATATCATTATTTATTTTTTAATAATTTTTATTTTTACTTTATGTTTACATATAAAGGTAATTCAGAATATTAAAAATTAGTTTCTTATATTATATATTGAACAATCATTTCAGATTTTTAATTTTATATTGGAAAAGGAGGATTTTTAACAGGACTTTATAATATATAATTTTAAAATTATCCATTATTAATTTATATATCTTAATTTTTAGTCTTATTTTATAAAAATAAAATAAGAAAAAAGTATTAAGTATTTTTATATATGTAAATTATATAATAAAAGGTATAAATATAAAAATAGATAAATACCTTAAATAAATTTTCAAAAATCCATCCTATAGATTTTTTATTAACAATAAAATTTATAAATAAATAAATTTCTTCAATTTAATTTTTTTAGTAATTATCAATTATCTTTTAAATATCAATAATAAAATTATATTTATAATCAAATTCATCTTTATCATTATTTAAATTTAAAAAAACTTAATTTTAACAATATTTTCCATTAATATCATTCATAATATTTATTCCATCATAAATAGTAAAATCTATTTATATTCGACATTTTTAATATTTTCCCATATTTTATAATTTCTTTAATATTATTTAAACTTCTTTATGTTTTTAAGCAGTTTCTGATTAATCTTTTTATTTTTTATTATTTTTCTTCTTATTTTTATTATAATTATCTTCAATATTTTTACTCTATATAGCTTCTATTTTTTAATCTACTTCTTCATCATCTTTAACATTTTCATGAATTTTTTTGTTTTTTTTTACTTCCTTTTAATTTTTTTAGCTTTTATTTATGGATTTATCAGATTTATTTTCTTCTCTTATTTCGTCTTTTTTTGATTAAGTTTCATCTTATTCTTTTTGTTTTTTCTTCTAATTATTTATAATTTTAATTGGTTTTTTATTTTCAAAACTATTAGTTTGCTAAACAATATTTTGATAATCTGGATATATATTTTATTTCTTATAATTAAAATCTTTATTAATATTTTAAGGAAAATTATTATTATTATTCCTATCATAATTATTATTTGTATCATTATTATTTCTATAATTATTATTTCTATCATTACTATTTCTATAATTTCTATCATTATTATTTATATTATTATTATGACTATAATCTCGTTTATTATTTTAATTTTTAATATTATTTAGATATTTATTTTCATTTTCATATTAAAAAATTCTATTACTATAATTTCCTGAATTATTACAATATTAATATATATCTTTGGGTATATATTGATCACCTTAATTATTGCTATTATTGTATAAACTATGATGATTTATTCTATGAATTTGCTGATTAAGTTACATTTAGGCTTATTTATAATTATTTCCTTTAGGATCTTAATTAATAATAAAAGGAATTTAATTCATTATATAAGGATTTTTTTCTTAGTTATTTTACATATATTAATTATATATCTTAGGATGTTCATTTAAAATATAATTATAATTTTATAAATTACTTCCATTATAAACAGGAATTTGAACTCTGTGACTAAGATTATTCAAACCTTATTTAAAAAAGCTAAAAATAAAAAAACAATAAAATGATACCTCCCCCTAAATTTGATGGAATAATTTATATATCAGGATTATAATATTAATATCCAAAATTAGTATTTTACTAATTATTCTAAACTCTGTTTTTAGAATGCAATTATGATAGTTAATATTCTGCTTCATGAAAAACATATATTTCATTATCGAGATTAGGATCATTAGGTAAGCAAATCCTTATAAATAGAAAACTATTAAAAATAGGCTATAATTATTATTTAAAAATACTGTTTGCATTTATAGCTTAATTATAAAAAGGCAATTTAAACTTTCCTTAATTTAATATAAAATTATAAAAAAAAATTTCATGCATAGTCCAAGCCTTTAAATTATAATATTAAAAAAAAAGTAAATTATAAATATAAATGAATATATATAAATATAAATTTATCAATATATATATATATATATATATATATATATATATATATTATACTCTTTTAATAATTTTTCTTTTAAATATATCATTTTCATTCGCATATAATTCAAAAAAAATTACAGAATCGGTATGTGGTTTTATTGATTATATAAGTCTTTTTTCAATTGGCACGCAATTTGAGAATTTATTACTTTATTACTAAGCTTTATAAATATCTGTTTTTAAGTAGGTTTCTAAAGCCTAACCTTTATTAAAAATACCAAATTAAATTTATATATCATCAAAAGTGACTGGAAGATCAGTAATAAAATCGAACCTTATCACAAACCCTTCTTTTGAATTATAAATTCGATTATCGTAAGATTATTATTTAATATTTAATTCTTAAGAAACTAACTTTTATTACGAATTCATCCTTATTTGATTTCCTTATTATTTATTAATAATAATAAGTTTTTCAAGATTTTCTTTTTATTATCTATTTTGTTTAAATTGAATTTATTTTAATTTAAATTCAATTGAATTGGGGTCTAATTTTGCAATTTCTAAAAGCAATTATTTTTCTTTTTATTGTAAAGAATCATATATAGTCTCTTTACTTTATTGCTTAGTATTTTAGTAGGCATAATTATATTACTTTTCGTGATCTAAACTGTGGAGAGAAGCTCTTTTTTTTATTTTTTTAGGTTTTTAACTTTTGTTTTTTTATTATACTTACTATCTTATGTTTTATGCTTTTTATTGAAAATAATCATAATTATTACCAGAGAGTAAATTTTAACCTACTTTTCCTAAATATGATTAAGATATTTCTTTTTTATTTATTTTTTTAATATTTTATATTTATTTAATTATTATTTACAGCTCATTTTTTATTTTTTTAGTTTATATTTTATTTTTTTAATATTTAGTTTTAATAAGGTCTTTATTTATAATAATTATAATTTTTTATGCAAATTTTAATTTATTTTTTTATATATTATTTTTCATTAGAAGAAATATAATATAAATTTATTATAATATCATTGTTAATGTATTATTTATATATATTAAATTGATATAATTTATTTTTTTATTTATATATATTTAAAGATTATAGATTTTAGAAATTATTAATAATTTTATTTTAAAAATAAATAAAAAGAACATAATAGAAATACATAAAAATATTATATTCAATAATTAAAATTTTTTATATTATTTAAAAAATATATATATATAATAATGTTACAATCAAAAAATTATTTAGAATAAAAATATTAGTTAAAATAAATAAAAAAAAAATTAATAAATTATTTATTTTTTAAAAAAATTAATATATATTTTACTTTTTTAAAATAAAAAAAAAAATCCATTATAAATATATTTTGGCAATAATAAAAAAATGGCTGAAAAATTCGATTATTTTTTAAATTTAATAGAATAAAACTCTCTTGAAGAATATCTTCCAGATCTCATCAAAAACGGTTTTGACAATTGGGATAGTATAAAAGAATTAAACTAAGGTATAATAAATAAATGTAACATAGAGTAAGATTAAATAAAGATTCAAAAGCTTTTGTCCATTATAAATTAAGTAAAAACCCTATAACCTCTCTAATAATCAAATTAATATAAAGAAAACACTAAAACATCATTAAATACATAAACATAAAGCCAAAAATCAATAGGAGATTCAAAAAAAATAAATATATAAGACATATTAAAAGCCACAAATAAAAAAAAGGACAAAGATATGAACGAAAAGAAATTTTTATCAACTATAAATGTGCTATCTTTAAATGAAAAAAACTTCGAAATAATCGGAGAAGACATACAATTTTGCACAGGATTAAAAACTCTACACTTATTTCATAATTTTATAAAAGAAATTTAATTTCTAGATGATATGAGATAATTGCATACATTGCAATTAGATAATAATAAAAATTTTTAATTAAAAGGTTTACAAGGTCTTAAAAAACTCGAAAAATTATATATTAGCAAAAATTTAATTTCAAGGCTTGAAGGATTGGAATATTTAGGAAATTTGAAAGAACTTTATATTAATAATTAATTAATAGGAGATAAAGAATTCACTTTTGATGAACAAAGCTTAAAATGTATAGGAAGTTCTCTTTTATTATTTGAGTGTTAAGGAAATAATGTAATTAATATTGAAAGTTTTATTTATTTGGAATAAATATAAAAATTGAAATTAAATAATAATTAACTTTGCAAATTTGATGTATTAATATTTTTTATGTTTTATAATTAAATAAAAAATAGATGTTTTTAGATCCTTTATCCTCAATGAAAAATCTTACAGAATTATATATTAAAGGTAACCCTTTAACTTAAATTTAAAAATATAGAGATAGAATGGTTTTAATGTCAAAAACATTACGTAAAAAAAACAAAAATGTCTTATAAATAAAAAAAAAAAAATTATATATATTTAAAGAAATACTAGATGATAAATAAATTTTAGTAAACGAAAGATAATTTTTATTTAATTTATGGAAAAAAAAACAGTATAATATTATTTTATTTTGATGATTATTTTTTATGTTTAATAAAAAAAAAGCGGTATGTTAGATGAAAAAAAAAGTCCTAAAAATAATGAAAAATAAAAAGAAGATCCAGCTAAAAACTTAGAAAGTGTAGAAGGAAAGACAATCAGCATTGTAGAAATAAATTCATTTTAATTTAAAAACCCAAAATCTTATCAAAAATTAAATGTAGCAAATGATTATAGAGGAAATTAAGCTACTTAAACTACTAAACATATTCCTAATACATATGGCACATTTAATAATTTTTAATGATAATAATATATAACAAATAATATAAATATATATATTACTTTATATAATGTAATGATTTAAATAAGTCAAAAAAAATAATAGAATTCAAAAAAAAAAAAAAATAATATAAAAGAAAAAATATATATATAAATATATATATATATATATATATTTATATATTCATATATTTTTATATTCATATATTTTTATATTCATATATTAATATATTCATATATTCATATAATCATATTCATATATTCATATAATCATATATTCATATATTCATATATTCATATATTTATATATTCATATAATCTTATATTCATATATTCATATATTCATATTTTAATTTATTCATATAATCATTTATTCATATATTCATATATTCATATATTCATAATCTTCATATATTCATATATTCATATATTCATATATTCATATATTCATATATTCATATATTCATATATTCATATATTCATATATTCATATATTTATATATTCATATATTCCTATAATCATTTATTCTTATATTCATAAATTTATATTTTCATTTAAATATGAATAATATATATATATATAAATATAAATATATATTTATATATATATATATATATACTTATTTTTATTTACATATATATTTTTTTAATGTATATAATCTTTATTAAACTTAATATATAAATAATATCTTTTAATATTTTATTTTAATATTTAATATTTTTAATATTAATATTAAGTTTTTTTTTTGCATTTTATAAAAAATATCATTAAATTTGCACAATGTTTTTTTCTTTATATAATTTGAACTTAAAAATATAAAATGAATTCTTATTTTAATTTTTATAATATACTTATATTTAATTATATATGAATTATACTATAAAAAACTAAATTAATATTAAAGGTATAAAATTATAAAAATAAATAAATATTTTCTAAATTTTTACCTAATAATAAGATATAAATAAAATATTATATATATAAAAATGGATAACTTCTACAAAAAATACATCGACCCATAATTTATTAAAATTGACGACATATCTAATTTTGAAAAAGACCTTATTGAACAAAACTTTAAAAACTTATTTGATAAAATAGATGAATAAAACCAAAAATAACTTTTATATAATTACTTGTTAAAATTATCAATTTAAATATCATGTACACTTGAAGAAGATATTCAATCAAGTTTATAAAATATAAATGATAGTTTATTTAAAATTAAAGATGAAAAAGAAATTATTTTTTAAGTATTTTACACATTATTAGCCATTTTTTTAAAGGAAACATGGACAGGACCTTCGTTTTTATATACAAATTCAATAAAAAAACTAAAACAAGAAAAATAATCAAAGAAATAAATTATCAAGAAAAAGTTATACCCAAATTATAATTTTTAGATATTAAAAGAGAACTTTGATCTATAAATAGATCCTTTAATAAATATTTTTAATTACAAATTTATTAAAACATAATACTATATTAATTGTTTTAACAAAAAGATAATTGATTTTTTAGAAGTTGATAGTGAAAACTGGCCTAGATTGATGCCTTTAACACATTTATTTATTATAATAAAAGAAATAATTAATTTCTTAGTCAAGTAAAACCCATAAAATCCCTTTTATATCCTATATTAAGCCAGAATAAAATTTATTCATTCGTAAATACTTTATACTCCTACAGGAACACTATATTAACATGTTATAGATAATTATAGAATTTTTTTTTAATTATTAAAAGAAAAAAAAATATAATTTACAAGAAGTGTACTTTCAAATTTATACATTGAATAGTCTCATGCTTATCTTTTTTTTTATAAATATAATTCTTCTAAAAGATCATTAGAATTTGCTTAAGTAAATTTAATATATATATATATATATATTTTTTATACATTATTATATTTTAGGAATTATTAAATATAGAATTATTTATAACAGGAAAAATGGGTAAAAGGACTAAATTTTAAGCTTATAATGTTAGTTAATTGATTTTTGAAGTAAAAAAAAATAATTAATGTTAATCTGATAAACTTAAACAAATGAATTTAACTGATGATGATCTTTTATAAATTTAAGAAGAATAAAAAGATTAAGTCGATTTAAAATAATTACTACAATCTATGTAAGATTAAAACATGCCTAAAAACATGTTATTAGACGAAGAATGCATTCTCTATGAAAAACCTATGATAGATGAAACTTTTGAAAACACAAATACTTTAGTTTAAAAAGATGAAAAAAGTGAACTTAATATAAATGACTAAATATATATTTTGGGTTTAATTAAACATATAAATACTTCAACAACACATGACGAAACATATTATGAATACATATAAGTATATTTTTAATAAAAATACTAACTATATATAAATAAAAGGCCTATTGTGATATTTTATTAGATAAAAGTTTAAATTGGATGGTTTTTTCTTGTAGTTTATTACAAAGATCAACCAATGAATATGTAAGATTTAAAAAAATGGAACGTGCACTTTTACAAATGTAAAGTTTAGTTGATTAATTCAACGATAAAACTCCTTTGAATTTCGAAAGACAAAATATTTATTTTCACTTGATTATCCCCATTATTTCGACCTATAAAAAAACCTTGCTGAAAAATACATGAAAATCGGAATAGTAATGTCTAGTTGTGAAATATTCGAAAAATTAGGCATGTTCGAAGAGTGTGTTGAGTGTTTATAAACTGCTGGTCATATAGACAAAGCTAAAAATTAGCTGAATAACATTTTAAAGTATATATATATATATATATATTGACTTATTTATATTTTTTTTTAGAATCCTACGCCAAAATTATTAACTATATATGGAGATTTATCTAGAGATTTTACATATTATAAATAAGCGTGGAAATTATCAAATAAAACATTTGCTAGAGCTTAACGATCTTTAGGAAGAATTTATTTCTAATAATAAAATTTTTAAAAAAGTATCAAAGCATTCCAAAAAGCTGTTGCTATTAATAAATATACACCCGACCCTTGGTTTACTATGGGTTGTGCTTATATGAAACTAAATGACTTAAAAAACGCCACAAATTGTTTTTCAACAGTAGTAAGTATAGACGAATAATAAGGTGAATCTTGGGCAAATCTATCTGGTTGTTTAATGAAATAAGGCAAAAAATTAGAAGCTTATTCAACCCTAGACCAAGCCGTCAAATACTGCGAAAGAAACTGGAGAATATGGTAAAATTTACTCTATATATCTCTATCTAATAAAAAATTTTACAAATATTTCGAGTGTATAGAAAGAATAACAGGACTAGGACATAAAGACGTGGTTGATTTTGAAGCTTTAAGCTAAGTAGTCTAGATTTTTAAATATTAATTGAGTATCTATCATTAATTATAATATAAATAATCTGTAAATACTTATAAGAATCGTATTGAAAGGCTTTTTTAATATTTATAAATAGAAATGGGAGAAAGATACGATGTATGGTTTTAATGGGCAAATTTTAAAGAAATTGAAATAGATTTCGAGAATTTCTAAAAAGATAATAAAATAAATTTACTTTTGTAAAAATTAAAAGACTAAGACTAAGAAAATATAGGGTCAAAAGTTAAATTTGTAGTCTTAGATAATAAAGAGGAGCAAATTTAAGAATTAGAAAATTAATTTTTGGAAAAAAAATAAGAACTTTTGGAAATTGTAGCTAGATATAGAATGAAATCATGTTAAGTATTATAGATTGTTGGTTGGCAAACTGAAAAGTAAATTAGATTTTTTTATATTTTTGTTTAATATTTTTTATAGGAAATAATGCTAGCTTTTATATGAATAAAGTCTTTTAATGATTTAGGCTTATAAAAATGTCTAAAAGGAAAATATAATTGTTGAATTGAAAATATTTTTGAAATCTATTAAAGGTATTTTGGAAACTAATTTAGAAAAATAAATTGAATTTGATATATGAGTTTTTTAATTTATTTATTGCGATTTTTTATTTTTTTTAAAATTAAACTTTATTAAGTTTTTTAGTTTAAAATTTTTATTCATTTAATAAAAAAATAATAATAAATTTTTTAAATTACAAACAAAATAAAAAACTATATTTTTTATATAATATTTAATTTTAAAAAAAATAATTCATTCGCCATAATTATATTCTCAAAATAAAAAAAATATTAATTATAAATAAAGAAAAATGATTAATAATGATAAGCTCAAAGACTTAATATAATAATTTGAATAATAATGCACACAATCAAAAAGCGATTAAACAAAGCAAATATTTAACCAAATAATTCTCATATACGATTAAATCTATTAAAAATTAAAATAAGATCTAATAATTTAAAAGAGCAAAATGCAACAACAAGAAAAGCATTTATTATAAATCCAACAATCATACCTAAATGCCATAAAATAAATGAAATAAAAAGACTAATAAATAATTTAATTATCCGAATAATTAAGATAAATATCAGAAATTCCATCTAAAATAACAAATATTAACGATAAATACGAATAATAATTATAGATAATGCAAAAAAAGCCTTATAAATTTTCAGCAGATAATGCTTACATAAAATAGTACATAAATTAAGCCAACCCAAAAAAATAACAATAAATAAATGAAGGCGAAGAGGAAAAATAAAAAGCTAATCTCACATATAAAATCAATCTATAATCCGTAAATATTCTGAAAACATAGCTCATTAATAATTCCCAATAGAAAAGCCTGCCCAACAAATAAATTTTGTTAACCGAAAAATCCACTTATATGATATATCAGATGATTTTAATTTAGTAGAAGAATAAAATATGGAAAAGTAAATCCATAGATTTTATACAGACACAAGTGAAGAAAAATCAAACGAAAATCTAATAAAATATACACGACATAGTATATGCACAAATTTTGTAAATGAATAAGACAATATATTAGATGAAATATATATAATAGGTCCTGACTATAATTAAATAAATGAATTGCATGAAAAAAGCGATCGAATTTAATTCACAATGAACCCCATAGTAAACTACTAATATAAATTAAATAGCAATAATATAACTTAAATAGATGATTCAATTTAAAATTACGCTTTTCCAACTGGCGTGAATATTCGCCGATTGAAAAATTCTGATTCAAACAGTGAAATAAACAACTTAGTTTTTTCTGGAAATACGTAAGCAAACTAAAGTCTATTTATTTTGACTTTTATTGTAAATGAAGATAAAATAAATTAAAATAATAATAATATTCTCTATTGTATTTGTGTTAAATTTAAAGATTTTTTCATCTCAAATAATATAGGAGGAGGAGAATACATAGCAGGAAATAAAAAAAATGATTAATAATAAAGGAAATATTACAATAATAATAAAAATTCTAAAGGATCCAATAATATTAAAAAAAACCAAAAATATTTGAAGTGGAGAAAGTTTTATGCTTTGTAACTTAAGTTCCTTACATCATTTTTTTTTTTGAACTTGCAAACTGTATTATGAACGAAATTAAATTATAAAGACTTTAATTATACGATAACATAAAACCTATATAAGATTTAAAAATCGACTCCAATTTTTTCCTTTAATAAATACATAATATATCCACTTAATATTTGTCAAAATTATAGGGCTAATAATGCATATAGTAAAATAATATAGTATTTTAATGCAATTAAAATTTAATAAAATATTCCTTTGATCAATTATCTTAATGTCAAATGCTTCTTGACTGGATAATAGATACTATATTCAATAATTTTTAAAACCTAGACTAAATAATATTCATTTTCATGTCCATTTTATTAGAAAATAACATATGCTTTGTTTCCAAAAATCTCTCAATATTGACTTCCACTTGCCTTTTATTTCAAAAGTTTCTTATTAGACCTTTTTAATGGCTTTATCCTTCAGTTTATAGTCTACCGTTAAATGCGATGGATTTTCTCGATTCTCCTGTACCCATGATAGTGGGTTTAAACATAGATAAACAGAGCATAATAAACAAAAGATTAGACTCTAAATATAAAAACTAGCTTTATGTAATAGTAGATAATTAAAATTTTGAAATAATAAATTCATTCATAATAAAAGATATTTCAAATAAAGTTTTCAAAAATATCAGTTAGGAAATACAGCCTTTATATAATCAATTAAAAAAAAAATAGTATTCATAGTATGATTAACATGTGTAAAAATACGTCAGAAAAATAAGTGATGATGAAGATGTGAATTTTTCTTATTCTTCTTTATAAAATAAAGATACTAAAAATTTATGTTATCAAATAATAGAAAAATTTAACGATTATTTAAAAGATAATATTATTTGTTGTTTTCCAAACAAAGAGACTTTAGTATCTGATGATTAAAAAAATCTTACTTTTGATTTTATAAAGGAGAAATTTTTAGAAAACTATGGAAAATAAGACAGTTTTATTAAAAGTTTTACTAGAACTTAAATGTTTACTTATTATATATAAGAAAATTATTTAAAATGAAAAAAATATAAAAAAAATAAGATAAAACTTAATTGTAGTAATATTTCTTTAAAATAATTTTTTTGTTTTTATAATATAATATGTTTTATTTATTAAAACAAAACAAAAAGTTAAGACATTATATAAATATTTATAATTTTAAAAAAAATATGAATAAAAATAAAGAAAAATGGTAAAAACTAAAACAATTTCTTTTAAAAAAGCAAGACTTTTAAATTTAGAAGCAATTATATTTAGATTTATTTACATTAACCTTCGAACAAAATACCAACTAGATAAAATATACATACACATCAACTTAAAATGCACAAAAAGAAATAAAAATAATACCCTAGTAAGAGAAGATAACAATTTAATAAATAAAATCATTTAACTAAAATAAAATAGACAGTACAGGAATATAATTATGGCCTGCGGAATAAATACTAGCCTATTTTTGTATAAAAAACATTCATTTATTTGCCTAAAATAGTAAAATCGCAGAATTAGGGGCAGGTTATTCGGGGTTTGCAGGCCTTATTTTGGCTTAAAATTTATAAGAAATATAAAAAAAATTTATTTTGGAAATTTCAGATGGATTATAACAATGTGTAGAACTTTTATAATAAAATATTTAAATTAATAATTTACTTGAAAATGTTAATGCTAAATAATTAGTTTGGGATATAAATATTTAAGAAATGGAAGAAAATTCAAAATTTGATAATATTATTATAGCTGATTGTTTATTTTTTGTTAATTTTCATAATGCTTTAGTTATAACTATAAAAAAAATGCTAAAAAAATAAGGATTGTGTTTTATTGTTGCTCCCAAAAGGGGAAATACAATGGATTTGTTTATTGAAAAAGCTAAAGAAAAACTATTAATTGTTAATTTTATAGAGTTTTCAGATTAATTGTATTTATAAGAAATAGAAAAAATTTAAAAATGTAAAGAATATAAATAAGATAATCATTATTATTATTTTCTTGAAATTAAACATTTAAATAAATGAATGAATTTATATTTATATATCATTATTTTAAATATATTTATAATAATAAATAAAAAATATTTAATTTTTTTATTAACATATTAAAGTAGATATATATAAAAAAAAAATACTTTCAAATAAAAAATAATAAATAATTATTTTGTATATTTTTTTATAAATAGTATAAAAGATAATATAAATATTTATATTCATTTAATTTATATATAAAATTAATTATTTAGTAAAAATATAAGAAAAAAATAAAAAAATTAATAATTATAACATTATACTATTAATACTAGATATATAAAAAATCATATAATTATTAATAAAAGTATATATTTATTTATATAATTATATAAATATTATTAGAAATTTAAATATATATATATATATATTTATATATATATTTTTATAATTTATATATATATATATATATATAAGTTTTATATATATTTATATCTTTTTTTTAAATTATTTAACATTTATATATTTTTCAAATTATTATTTTTTATAATTTATAAAAATATTTTTTCTTATTTATATTTATTCTAAAAGAATATTTTTTTTATTTTTTAGAAGTTTTATTATTCATCTATATTTTGTATTTTAAATTTGTGAATTTTTTAATTATATAATAATATTTTATTTATAGCCATTTTTATTTATTTAAAATAAATTTCTTTAAATATTTACTTTCTTTTTATTTTACAAATCATTAAATATTTATATTTTATATCTATCGATATTTATTATGCATAATTTTATATTTTTTATAAAAATATATTTGTTTAATTTTTTATATTTCTTTTTATACTTATTTATTTTTTTATTTTAAATTAATATTTTTAATTTTTTATTACACTTTCTTTTGGCTTAAACTAAAATGTTTAAATTAAATTTAATTTCAACTAAATATCTTATCTATCAGCTTTTTATAAATAATAAATATTAAATTTTAGAACTTTTATTTTCATTTTTTTCAATTCTTTGATTAAATAATTTTTTTATTAGATTTATAAATTATAAATTATAATAGTATTTTTTGTTAATAATATAAATTAAATTAAATTAAGAAAAAACTAAATATAAAAAAATAAAAACATATTAATTAGTAATTTTATAATTAAATAAAAAAAAGATTAATTAATTGTATATACAACAAAATAATTAAAAAAATTACTCAAATATTCTAAGTTTTTTAAGTATTCTCTTCAACTGAAACATTATAAATTTTTGATAACTAATAAATATAATTAACATCAAATTAAATATCAACATTATCCCCGAATTAATTCAAAACCTCATCTTCTATTTAAAATTTTAAATTATTTAAAATCAATTATTTAATAATGCCACAACTTTTCGGAAAATTTTTTCTATACTTAAATTCAAATTCCTAAAATTTATATTTTTAAAATAACTCCTTATCTTTTTCCATATCAATCATTAAATACTAAGCAGTTCTGCAAGCTGCATAAACTTCTGCAAAC